CCGGTCGATGCCGCCCGGCCCGGCTCCGCACTGCCACCCGCGGGCAGGGCATCCGGGGGACGCGTGCCAGCGAGCGGCGCCCGCTTCTCCCACCGCGTGCCCGTCCTCACCCAAGCAACAACGTGCAGTGAAGGCTGAGCTTCTTCTGGCTTCTCCGACTCCCAGGACGTCCCTCATTTTAGGTCTCCCTCGAATCCCAGCCCACTGCTCTAATCCCTCCATCCCTAGGAGCAACTCCATCTACCTGACTGCGCGCAAAGACCCTCAGATGCCCTTCCAGAGACGTTAGCAGGTGGCGGGAAGCCAGGGCCTTCAAAATGGGTCACACCTGTCGGCCGAAATGGCTGCAGGAGGGTCTCAGGCTGCTCGTGGAGCCCTTCGTGAAACTCCTGGACTCAGAGGGTTCAGTCTGAGGAGGATTTCAGTCGAAGGAGGAGGAATTCATTTTGCTAATTCAGGGATGGCGATTTCACGCAGGGCAAAGTCTGCATCCCATCACCTGCGCGCGTTACCGAAATTGTTACAGTACCACACTGAGCAAGAAGGCCTCACCAGCTGAAGGAAGCCTGTGTGTAACAGCAACAGGGGGAAGGAGGGGAAAGAAAGAGAAAAGAGGAAATATCTGGTTTCGATCAACTCCTTCTTAAAAATAGAAGCCTGATTACTGTTGCCCATTTCTGATTCCCCAAGGGAGAGCGGGGAAAAAAGTCGGATCTATAAATAGTTTGCAACACAGAGAATCCTATAGCAAAGTTGCTGGGAAAGATCAATAACATGATTCAAGGAGGGCTCCAAATTACATCTCAGGGGAGGGAGGTGCTGAACTGAATTGATAAATGAGCTGCAAATGCTGTGTGTGTTGTGTGTATCTAATTAACAGAGGGTGACTGGGATCAATAGCAACGAAGGAGCTGATCTAAAAATAGCACTCCGGCAGGGATTGCAACCTGCGGGCAACAGCTTGGATGAAAATGTCCCCCGGAGTAATTAACCTTTAGCTGGAAAGTGGTGGTTAGCACGAGGCTGAAGCAGATCCTGTGAGCAGCTGGGAATGGATGAGGTCTCGGTGGAGCTTGGAGGTACACAGCAGCGTGACGGTCACAGAGGTGCAGGACACAGGCACGCACACACGGTCACGGGCTCGCAGCCTTCCTCTGTTCAGGCGGCAGTGTGAAACTGCAGACCGGTTGTAGTGCTTTCTGCAGGAATATCTGAGTATTTCTGTGAGGCTGTAGGAGCAGGAAATATTTGTAGTTCTGCGTACTCGCAA